CTCCCCCTTTCCACCCCCCCCCTTTTTTTTTTGTAAGGTGTGTAATGTACAAAAGACAATCATTTGCATAAAATACAATGATAGCAATACCAGAGTGAAGCTATAAACTGTGAGGAACTGACACATGGTATTTTAATTAGCTACTTATTGGATACCATCCTGATACAAATGAGTAAGAGCATCAGACTAGTGCAGAATGTTGATATATTATTTATACATATCTTTCTCTAAAATACACAAAGGACTTAAAAAATCTAGGCAGATGTTTGTAGTAAATAGCTGAATGAATTTCAGGCATGTTGAGATGATGGGACAAGGATGTATGGCCCAGCATATTGGTTTTCTTAAATTCTGAAGTTTCTTTTGTTAGGCTGTATCTCTTATTTTAAAAAAAAAAAGTAAGTAAATATTTTAAATAAATTGGAAATCAAGCAATTTTTTCACATATGAAAAGACAGAGGAATGCCTGTTTTCTTAACTCAAAGATGACCATCTTAAAACCAGAGATCATTTTAGGTTTTCCTATTGAACCTAAACTAATCTGAAGTATGTGCTTTTTAGTATTTAGTGACAGCGTACCTAGCCTGCTGTAGATTTGCTATTCTGCAATACCAGACCACTTGCACTTTCTTGCTCCGCAAGAAATCAGAGTAGTTTGATCAAAAAATTGAACAACAAAACTGATTAGGCCATATTAGGAATATATTTTATAAATTCACCAAGAACCCTGTAAGAACTTGTCATTTAAACTCAGCAGAGGCAAATGTGTATATGTATCTACTCTGTCATTTACTGTCCCTACTCTGATAGACTGGTATGACCCACATAGCTTTCTAGAAGCTGTTGATAAGTCAGTTTTCAGAAATTACTATGAGATAAAAAGATCTGGAAGTATCTGTTTAGTAGAAGATTTTTCCATGTTTAGATACTCTTGTGGCCTCTACTCTCATTCAATGTTGAGAGTGAAAAGTTGTCACAAAGGTGAGAGATTTTTTTTTTTTGCTTTGTTTTAGGGCTATTAAACTTTTTAGCTTGGAAAAAAGTCACTATTCCTGAAATAATGTTTTCTGGATTTTTTTAATTAAATGAGACAATCAATTAACTTGATTAAAATATTAAGTCTGAATTATATCACAGGTGGTTGTGCACAGGAGTATCTGTGTTATGTTATCTTTGCTGCCTACTTCTGAATAAGTTATTCATGATGATCTGGCTTTTCATTCTGAGGTCCTTTGTAGTGAGCTTCACATGTATGAAAAGATATGGTTATGTACCTGAACTAACTTACTGGAATGCTCTAAAGATTCTAGCTGTTTTAATTTTCTTGTTTCACATCAAACCATGGATATTCAGCATATAAAGTAGTACAAAGATGTTGCTTTCCTAAAAATTATACTCTATGTTCATATTACCAAGTCCATTTTAGTGTACAATTACATTATTTTACTAATGAAAAAACAGTAGCTATATTTTAAGATCCCAGAATTATGATGGTTGGAAGGGACCTCTTGATCATCTTGCACAACCTCCCCTGCTCAAGCAGGCTCAGCTAGAACTGGCTGTCCAGGACTGTGTCCAGCCGGGTTTTGAATATTCTGACAGATGGAGACTGCACCACAACCTCTCTGGGCAACCTGTGCCAGTGTTTGATCACTCACAGTAAAAAAAGTTTACCTCATGTTTCTTAATTTGTGCCCATTGCCTCTTGTCACTGGGCACCACTGGGAAGAGTTCGGCTCCATCTTCTTTACACTCTTCCATCAGGTATTTATACACATTGCTAAGATGCCCCCTGTGCTGCCCTTTCTCCAGACTGAACAGTCCCAGCTCTCTCAGCCTCTCTTCATATGAAAGATGATCCAATCCCTTAATCATCTTTGTGGCCCTTTGCTGGGTTCACTCCAGTATGTCCGTGTTTCTCCTGTACCAGTGAGCCCAGCACTGAACCCAGCACTCCAGCTAGACCTCAGTAGTGCTGAGTAGAGAGGAAGGATGTCCTCCCTCCATCTGTTGGCAACACTGCTAATGCAGCCCAGGATGCTGTTGGCCGCCTTTGCCATGAGGGTGCATTGCTGGCTCATGATCAGCTTGTTGTCCACCAGGAGCCCCCAGGTCCTTCTCTACAGAGCTCTGTTTTAGCTGATCAGCCCCAGTGTGTGCTGGTGCATGGGGTTATTCCTCTCCAGATGGAGGACTGAGCATTTCCCTTTGTTGAACTTCATGAGATTCTTCTCTGCCCAATTTCCCAGCCTGTCGAGGTCCCTTTGAATGACAGCACAACCACGTGGTGTATCAGCCACTCCTCTTAGTTTGTATTATCTGCAAACTTGTTGAGGGTGCGCTCTGTCCAGTGTGCAGATCATTAATGAAGATACTAAATAGTCCTGGCCACAGTATCAACCCCTGGGGTAGACCACTAGCAACTGGCCACCACTGGTGCCACTGATCACTACTCTCTGGGCCTGGTAGTTCAACCAGTTTTCAGTCCACCTCACTGTCAAAATGCATACCACTGGCCAGGGTTTATGTGTAAAATTATTTAAATGCTCTGATGTTTGATTGGTTTTTGTAAGAAAAGGCGTTGCTGTATGTTTCCATGTTGTAGTCAGTTTAGTCAAGTTGAAAGCCAATTTAGTCAAGTTTTACCAATAGATACTATCTTCAGAAAATTACAGTGAAAGCTTGTGCAGATTTCTTTTTGATAGTAAGATAACTTTCTTAACATGTTTATGTAAACACAGAGAACAGCAAGTTTTGTCTGACTCAGGGTGTGCTGTCTCATTGCATGTAATGCTACTCTTCTGTCATTTTTCTACTAATTTTTAAGTCCAGAGTGAACTCTCTTTTTGGAAGGTTTTTACTGTCAACATACTGTTACCATATTGTGACAATCGCAATCAAGAGGAAACAATAATTAGTAAATCCAATGATAAAGAAAGGATGTACTTTAAAGTAGGAAAGAATTTAAAATATGAGAACCACACAATTGTTTTGTGTGCCTCTCTGCTATGTCTGAAGCAGGCCAAAAGATCATTCTTAGCGTGTCTTACTGCTGGCAGAATTTTACATGTGGCCATGTAGAAACCTGTTGGTGTTTTTGAGTGATGGGATAAATGGGATGTTGCATAACAGCCTCTTCAGAAAGTCTGTCTAAGGGTTTGTGATAATCCTTTATACTGAAGAAGTTTGGGTATTTTCACATCGTGCAGTTGATTTTCATGGCCATTGTCCTTTAGGCCAGGGGTCCAGCGTCCTAACCCGCTACTGAGTCAGTAACCTTGTCAGTGAGGTGAGGAAGGAGGTCTCCCCTCCTCGTATCTGCCTTTCCAGCTGTGAAATAGGAGCTGACTGCTATGGGCAGTGCTTCCAGACTTCATTAGTGTTTGTTAAACCACTTTGAGGTCCTCAGAAGGAAGGTGCTATGAAGTGTTTAGTTATTCTATTTATGAAAATGTTTGTGGCAAAGGATTTTTTAACTTTTTCTGAATAATGTTTCCTAGCTAATGCTTGCTTTACCCTTTCTTCTCCCTCTTTCAGTTCATTTCCCCCACCCCAAAAAGAGCAGAGCTTGAAATATGAGGCTAAAAATTATGCTGACTTTTCTCAAAAAAACCCAAAACAACTCCAAAACCAAACCCATCCCACAGTTTTTCCTTACAGAATTCCTCTTCTTGGTTGTCACAGAACCTGTTTACTACAGGAATATTGGTAATTCACATGTACTTTTCTTCTTGGAACAGATTAACATATTTATTAAATCTGATTCTACTAGGATGCGCGTGCTGCAATGCTCTGGCTTATTTACGCTCTAGTAGTGGTGGCAGTCTTTCATTCTGAGTTGTGCAGTGTAAATTGGTTATAAGCATAAAAGAAAATGAAATTGCTTTAGGAATAAACTTTATTTGGGAAAGAAATTTGCCTTAGCTATATGAGTGGTAGCAGAAGATGAAGTTCAGCAGAACTTCAGTTCAGAAAACAAAGGAGGATGTACCCCAAGTATTACCTTGCTCTTTTCCTTTTTAAAAAGAAATATACATTTTTTTCAGTTAACTGTAGATTGTAGTCTCTAGCATGCTAAAATAATGGGCTCTTATTTATCCCTGAATCATGTTAACTTCAGGCTTCCTGGGTTATGATCTTTGTTTGCAGTGTCAAGTCTGTCATGAGAAGTCAAAGATACTTAAAATGTCTTAGCCAAGAAAATGAACTACTAGCACACCACCACAGTTAGGTAGTACCTGGTTTACTTTATGAACTATTACTATTAACAGTCTGAAAATTCTTACTTGATCACTTTGATTAATACAGGATAGTACTGGAATGAAGTTGTGGAAGAAACGGTGGTTTGTGCTCTCAGATCTGTGTCTCTTCTATTACAGAGGTAAGTTCCACTCAGGAGAGCTTCGTTTGCTAATTTTACTGGAAGCAGGTAAATTTTGCCACACCACTCAAATGTAAGAAATAAGAAGCTGCTACTTAACTTAATGGATTAAAATATCTGTATAGTTGTCAATATCCAGGCATGCTACTTTTTTTTTTCTTTCTTTCTTAATTACCAATTTCACATAATTGCTTCCTGCCTGTCAGGTACACTCAAAGGGCAAACCCATTCACAGCTACCTCTTTTATTAAATTCTGGATTGTAGTTTTCTCACTGCTTCTGTTGCTAGGAACTAGATATGCCAGGTTAAATCTGATTTTTCATGCAAATTAAGTAACTGAAATGGGGATAGGAAAGGGATAGTGCAGGGGAGCTGAAACTCTGCTTTTGGAATGATAAAGAGGATATATATGCCTTTTGGGAATCTAATCAGTGTTCATGAATACTTATAAAATGAAATGTTGTCCAATTCCGTATGAGTAGAAGTCTCTGCTGTATTTGGAACAAAGAAATCTGTTAGTACCCTTATGTAGCTACATCAGACTTATTTTACATGGGAAAAATTAGCTGCTTATAATTCTAGTCTGGAGATATGTATGTTAGAAAACTGATTCCTTCACCGTGACAGATTAACTGTAGTCCTCCTGGGGGAATAAACAAATGGGATTTGTGCATATGGAAACTTATTCAATCCTGAAATAAGGTGTACAAAAGTAATAGTTTAAAGGAGGCTAAGAGCGAAGAAGATTGTTAAGCATGGCAAAACAGAGGAAAATAAATCTGCCTTAACTGCAGATGAAGGGTAAGAAAGGGTTTCAGTTTAGGATGAGACTTTAGAATTGGTAGAAGTGGTATTGATGCTGGTGAGCAGTGACTGATGAATTTAAAATGCTGTTCTGTTAAAGTGCAGCATGGTTCTAATCTTGTCAAGACAAATCAGGTCATGAAACATAAAAGCTCTGTAACTGTTTGTAACTGTTTTAGTTAACAAATTCTGAATTCTTGAAATACAGTCATTAGGCTTTGTTCCTTTACCCCAAGAATATACATAGTTGGATAAACCACTGCTGAGTCAAAATTAGGCTATAATTTCAGTCATGGAGGCATCGATTGCCATACAGTTACACTGCATTTAGTTAAGTGATCATTGTATACTCCGTGCTTTCTTATAGGGTTTTCTTTTTTTAAAGAAGTCTTCAGGCTCTCTCCTCCAAAGGTTCTAAAGAAAGTGCTGCTTTGTAGCTGCCTTAAGAACAGATTAAATTGACTTAAAGCACTGCACATGAAGTATCTCAAAATAAAAAAGCAGTAAGCAAAACCAACAACAAATAAAATAAATCCAAACAGCTCTATAATCTTACTTTTTCATTTCTACATGTTAGTGTGCCAAATAAACTGAAATACAAGCAGAATAGTCTAAATTGTTTACATGATAAACTTAGCTTTTAGCTATCACTCACTAGAAAGCAGTTAAAGCTGATAAACTGTAATTAAACATGTATAGTGATAGTCTTAAAGGTATTAGAAACGGCTACTAAAAAATAAAAAACTTGCACTCTAAACCCTGTGCTTTTATGTTTTTGTTAATTCTGTCTCAGATATTGAAAAAATGGAAAGGGGGGAGCCATGCACTTGCTCCCAGATCGCAAACAGTGTTTCTGGTTGCACGATTGTGGTGGGGGGAGTTTTATTGGGGTTGTTTTGTGGTTTTGTTAGTAAATCTTACTGAACTTTTACAATTGTGTTACAGTGTTAGCAGCTTAAATCTGATTTATAGATGAAAAGAAAAATTATTTCATTGTATTTTTTCAGAGCTTAGAGAATACTCGTTCTCTGTTTCATGGAGGGATAACAGACTGCCTGCCTTCATATTGGAGGGTTATTGTTGCAACAAATAAAAGATCTTAGTGCTGGACAGAAGATCTGCTATTTTTCTCTTGTATTATTCATACACAGCGTACAAGTAGAGATGGGTATGGGGCAGTGTAATGTGTAGATAAAAGCTAGTCTGATGGGAAACAGATTTTTAAAATCTGGAAATGGAATGTAGCAGTATGTCTTTAACAAAGACCAAAGTCCTCCAGACATGCAGCTGTTCAGTGGAACAAAAATGCTTAATGCTTTTATATGGCATTAGTGGTGTGACTTAGTCATAAGGCAGAGTATAATCTAGCAGAAGGAGGGAATTTTTCCCCAAAACAGCAGTCCATATAAAGTAAACCCCAACATTTGCCATGCATTCTGGGACAGGGGGAAAAAAGGCAGAATTCTGTGTGTGTGTGGCTAGCAAGGAGTAAATATTTGAGAGGGGGAGATGAGACAGTTTCAGGCATACTTATGAGTACAGTTGAGTACCTGAAAGTAAATCTACTCCCTTCATTTCTTTTTCTACCTTTTAATCAGAATAATTTTATGCTCAGTTCTCCAATTAAATAACTATCCAAGAAAGCATAATTTTTACATCTAACATACTACGTAACGCTAGTGTGGCTGGGCAGAGCTTTCCCCATATGAATAACTTTCATTTAAGTTGTGGCTTTTCAGAATTTCATGAGTAAACGAGAACTGGGAAAAGATTTTTAAAGCCGGGTATAAGAGGTAGTCCTTTTGTGCTGTTTACATGTATTTTAATTGTAACTGTATAAGTTTTCTGTGCTTAAAACTTTGTAATATCTGTTTTCATCTTAATTTCATAGATACATAGTCATTTATTGTGGGCAGTATCTTCAACTAAGAGAAGTGTTATGGGGGACAGTCTTCCTAAGATACTGGTTGTGAATAGAAGTTCTGTATCTGAAATACAATTAAGATTGACTGTCAATTGCATCCAATTATTCCTTTATTAAAGTATAATTGGATTTAAGAACTGGTTGTTCCTTCCAATTAAAATGTCAATTTATTATTGTAATGTATTGTTCTAGAATTTTACAAAAAACCTATGTTGACAATAAAGTGTAAACTGTTCATGGGAATTATAACAATCTCGTAGCTTAATATGCCTGATACCAGATGAGGAATGTGCAAATTTTCTCAAAGACCAACAATCATAAACAGTATTTTAAAATATTTCTGCTCTCATGGGTGTTTGCAAGTTTTACTGAGCAGGCAATAGATAGCAGGTATTGTTCTTGTCACTGAATTATAGGCTTGACTTCCACCTGCTTTTCAGCTTTGAAGTTGTATGCAGCTAAGCACTGATCCCCAGAAAAACTCTAGGTGAAGCTATTTGTGGTGTTTTCCATAAGGTAGCTCATGTACTTTAACTTACAGAGCTGGCACTCTCAGGAGGGTTTTTTATGCTTGTCCATCTTGGGGAAAAAGTTGAAGGTGGCCATACTCAAATGGCCTGGATTTCACAGTGCTTAGCAGGTTTTTGGGGGCGCGCACTTGTGCGATGCGGGTTCTGTGGCATGTCTTGGCAGAGAGGGACTGCACAATTGCTCTTGTGGACTGCACACTTCTGAGACTGTATACAGGCACCTATGTAACAAATCAGTCTGGCTTTCTGATTCTCTAATGCATTTTCTTCTGAGGTAAACTTCTTGTTACTGGTCTTGTGTTAAGTACAGAGTTTCACTGAAGGGTCTGAATACAAGTATTATGTATCAAAATACTGTTTCTCTAATCAAAGACTATACATTCACAGATGAGAAAGAAGAAGGAATATTAGGTAGCATACTTCTACCTAGTTTTCAGATATCTGTGCTTTCTCCTGAGGACCATATTAACCGCAAATACGCCTTTAAGGTAGGGGAATCAAATTTTCAGTTTAATTTTATGTCTGAAAGCACAATAGCCTAGTGAACAGAAACTGAGTTGTTATGCAAAACAGGGTTGACAAACAGCTTCTGAGACTGATTTTTGCATAATACAGTAGCAGAGGGTTCAGGTATTTAGCCTGATGTAAATATAGACATAATTACTACAATAAGAAAATGGATGAATTAGTATTGTATTTTTAGTTCATGGATCTTAAATACTGTGTGGTGTGTTAAAATTGTAAACTGTATCCATGGCTAGACTTATCCCACTAGTGAAAGTTCTTTAGTTATTTAGATACGAAGTATCTTTCATATAAATAAAAATAAGGTTTTATTATCACTTAAATCACAATATTACATGAATCATTGTTAGGAGTGTTTCAAAGCTAATCTTTTTAATCATGATTTAAATCACTCTACTAAATATTTTTCTCTTGACTTTTTTTT